TTTTGAGAAACGCCCCTAAAATGGGAAGCTGGAGTTCTTTTCCCTTCCCATTTGGTGAAATTCATAGGCGACACAAACTTGCGTTTAATTTGTCTGATTATTGTTCATGAATGAAAGCAGGAGCAATTTGATGACGCTTTTAGGATCAGTCACTTCAGAAGATGCTGGAGGTTTAATAGAATATTAATATGGAATTAAGAGAACTTTTCTATTTTCTCCAAATTTTGTCAAACTGCAACCAACGATTTTAAAAAATTTTGCCAATTTTGTAACGTTTCTAATAGGGACGCGAAATTATTACTTTATTGTCCAGTTTTAGAGTTAATAGATTCCAGTTTATCTAAACGGTGACTTTACCTATGGGTTGATTACATCTTTTGTCATGATGCGTTTCTTTCGTCTTTTTCTCCTTCCTGTATTCTTATTTCACAGACTAGTCGAGATATTTGATGAATGCTGATTGCCAGTAACATTTTATGAGTTGTTGAGAGCTAGTGTTGAAGCCTGTTTGAAGGGTTGACTGCTTTGAAGAAAAAGTGACATGTTATGATGGAGTTATTTTTGGGGTGTGCACCAGACTTACCTCCACGTGGTGCACCCTAGACAACGTATACTCATGCGGCAAAAAGTCTATAAACCGGTAGTTGATTTCTCACTTCAAACTGCCCATTGTATGTCATATTCGACTACGTCCACAGTACTCACCTCACCTTTTTTCTACCTTTTCTACCTTCGTCTTTGAGACACTCTTCTATTCCCCCCCCCCCTTCCGACGCTTTCACTTTGATGTTCCTTCGGTCTGTGAAGCCTGAAGTTAACTAAAGGGCTAATGATGACCATCAAAACGCCTGCCATTTGATATAATAAAAATAATAATAAAAGTTTCAGAATAGCTCCATTTCAGAATTCCCTTCTGTTGTGATTGTTGTGAAAGATGAATGACCTCTATCTGTTTTAGGAGATTCAGAATTTATCATACATTAATAGCAGATGACACCGATGCAGATGCATTCGACTAGAGACGCGATTAACGACAACAAAGAAACCATAAAAATGATCAAATCAGCTTCTAGTTGATACACAGCGTCCCAGTTATCTTCCGAACCAATTAGATGACGCAATAATAATTGTAGAGGAGGGGACCAATCAGTGCGAACCTACCATCAGCCCATTCATGGGATTGGTCGATCTGCCATTAGGCCAGAAATGCATGTCTATAGGAGTATGCATCTCTGCTGCAACACTCATTGAATTATACCTTCTTGTAAGTGCGATTCATGCCAATTTTCGTTTAAATGTGTGTATCGTTGAAAGAAAGTTATTCGCTTAAATAACTGAAACATTGTTCTTGATTATTTTCCTCTATTTTGTACAGACCTTATTTGATGATTTCACGGTTAAATAATCATTGCTTTAATACTTCTTTCCAATTATATAATTGAAATTGTGGCAACCTTAAATTCCATTTTCCCTTCCTCTCAAACCCCGTGACCCCTTTTTTCTTTACAGTAGAAATTTGAATCTAGATTTATGGTCGGTGGTACTGAACCTGACCTTTTGTGTTCAGTATAGTCTGTGTTTCTATATTTATTTGGGTGAAAAATGAGAGGAGAGCATTTGTATTAACCACGAATTTCTTTCAATGAAATCATTTCAACTTCTTACTCCTGAATTAAGTACTTATTTGGGTCTGTTTATTTTGTTCATGATTTTAACAATCAACTTTATACCTTTTAAAATATCATATAGGTGGTGGTGGAGGGGGTGTTGAAATTGAGAATTTCGGTATGTCTATATAACAAGAGTTGAATTGGTGTTTGACGTTTGGTTAAGTATTTTGAGGGTATTCGATTGTCCGACGATTGCACAAAATATCAGTTATAAGAGACATGCTTACACTAATTCGCAGTCTAGAATTTCACCGAGAGTAACAGAAAATGTTCTCACAGATCATCTAAATTGAGCCCCATTAAGATCTACAGGACCGCTTGTCATAACTATCCCCGTCCAATCACTTTCTAGTGCGCCAATTAGCGATTACCGATTTTGCTAATAAGTTTAGTTATAATATTTGTATTATCGTGGTCTTTAGGACTTATCATGAGAACTGTGATTGAAAGGTTCTTTAGCCTACTATTGATAACCTAACCCCTTTTTCAAGGCGAACGAATGACAGTTTTCTTATGAATGGGGTACAGCCACAAATGTTTTCGGTTTATATTTAGTAATATATCAGTTGTTCTAACTTATGGCCTATCAATGATTAATTAATAAATGATTCGCTAGCTTGACATTATGCTTTAATTCAAATCAGCCAACCCAATTTTCCTTTAATAGTAGTTGGATATTTTTCATCTATTTCTCATTTTTCCAAACAGAATGTCGACCACATCGACATTTCTACAAATCCCACCCACCCTCCCTCCGCCGACAACAGATCAACAACAGGATGCTGCAAGAATACATTCCATCACAGCTGTTCAACCGTCATCCACAAAGAATATATTTCGGAGCATTACTTCTATTCATCGATCCACTTCAGCGCTTCCTGCTTCTCATTTGGACTTAGATATCGCCTCATCAGCTGGTCTTCAGGTGAGCATTAGCCTTTATAAATGTTTTTCGAACTTGTTTACAGACCTAAACGACTCATTTTGCAGATGTCTGTTGGTCCTACCCTGACCTAGTAGAACCCACGTTGTACTAGTAAAATGCATGCATTTTAACCATTCCAGCTGTCTTGACGAAAGCCACCTTTTCCTTCACCCAATTGTTAAGCCCACGGGGGTTTGTGGTAGAAAAACAACTAATGAGTGAGTCATCGGTTGGGCAAGGTCATTTGTGATAGTGATTAATGTTTGCTGTCATTGTTCACGCGCCATTTAGACTGTGAGGGAAGAATAGCAAATATTGATATTTTAAGACTATACTTAATTAACTGCAAAAAATAGCTAATCATTGAGTACTCTATTCAGATAAGTGGTGTTGAAGGAAGCAAAAGAGGTATTTGGTCAATAGTATTTGAAATTTCATTTTTTCAATATTTTACTCTAATTCGAACTCATATATCGACACTTTTGAGTGAAAGTATAAACATTTTGCTTTCAATTTTTACCCTAAAATGTTTGGGGAAGTGTTTCTCTTCACCAAGACGAAAATTCGAGAAGCGAGATTTTCTCCACTCCTCTTCTTGAAGTAACTATGTCAAACTTCATTTCTGAGTGAATACGGCCTAAAGATTGTATTGCAATCTATTCCAGGAACTTGACCGATATCTAAGGAATAATTTGTTTATTTATAAATCTATTATACATAGTACCACTTCCTTTGAGTCTGGAATCGATCTCGATCATTTTTTCGCTATAATGGTGGCTATATCTGAATAATTTATTGTGGCATGAATACCAGATGTGGAGAAAAGAGAAAGTGGTCGAGGTACGCGAGATAGAAGCTGGTAGGAGGAGCTGCAGATGAGAGACTTGACTACATTAATTTGTCACTAGAAATTACAAAGAAGGAGAGTGTCATACAGAAGCATTGTGGAAATCGAAGCATGGGAGTAGTTTCGGTGATAATATTACAAACAAGTAGGTGGGAATAAAAATAACCACAAAGAAAGTTGGAACATTGTTTTCAATGGCCTCTTGTATCTCCCTAAGATACATGCAAGCGATGCAATTATAGCGATTTGTTTAGGGTCATACTGATATCGGTAAGTGGCGGACTCCCTAAAAAAATGAAATAAGACATCTTGAAGCGTGCTATTCATCTACAGATTCTATATACTTTTCCCTGATCTTTTGAATGATTTATCTTATCCCAGCATGTGCATTCTTTCTCCTCCTAATTGCCATCACTATTTAGTAGCTCTAAATAGTTTTTTGGGTAGTTGAACGAGTTAGACTAAGGGCTCACATTAATCGATATTTAGCATTAGTTTAATTTTAACTGATTGGACTGTCGATTTATTTTTAGCCGAACTGAGGAAAGAGCTGACATCATCAATTGCGGTGTCATTTATCTTAATTTGCGCAGAATGCTTGAGTCAAATAACCAATCAATTTGAGCTGTTAGTGAAACCGCGTAATTTAATAATATACAATTTGAAAGTGAAAGTTTTATTTCAACTTGGTCGTCCAAAAATAACCCCTTTGAATAGAAACGGGACTGCCTCAATATATGGATAGAGAATAGCCAACCGTCTTAATCTAGTTGAAAATGGATAGCAAATAAAAATCAAATCTAAATTTTGGCTGCGAATAACTAGGAATAAGCCTTGATATTCTATCAAATATGAAGGCAAATTTTGATAGGAAATAATTTTCTCATTTCGGGGTAAAAAATTTACCAACGTTCATCATGCAACTAAAGCTGTGGCAATGTTTACACTAAACACGTCTGCTTGAGTTTATCAATTAAATCTTAAGGCCCTACTGATAGCGCCCAGGTACCAGGTAGAAAGGAAGAAGAGGATAAAAGGAAAATGAGATGACGTCTGAATGGATAAGTATTATAAATACATCAAATTTCATGAAGAAAAATAAGTAAGGACATTGGGTTGATCGAATAATTTCAATATAACCCGACAGGAAGGAATATACAGTCAAACAATTCTATTTCTAACTATCCTTTGGCTTCCATTTTCTCAAATGTGGGCAACAAAATGCAAACACCCTATATCTAGGACAGCCTCTCAAATAAAAAGAGTGTCTGCTTTTCTTTCCATTCCAATATCACTTTCTCCATTTCAGTGGGTCTGCACACCTTCTCTGAAGCTGTTTCCGATATTGCTTGAAATATTGGGCCTGTGCAAGGCAGCATTCTTACGATTTGATACAAATTCATTAAGATATCCATTTGGATTGGAATGAAGCTAAGGCAATTCTCATTGATACAATTACAAAGGTTTTCAAAAGTAAGATTAACGCGAAGTGAATCGAGTGGCTATAAACAAAGCATTCAAGGAAATATGCTTTTTTTGGGGTGAATGGGGGGGTGTTGAGATTTAAACTGGTGCACTACATTATTAATGAATTCTCTGAATGCGTGAATTGTCTCTGCACACTTTATGTCATTGGAAAGGTTGATAGACAAAAACTCTGTTTTACGCAGATATAGTTGTGTACGCTTACTACAATCCGAGGTTACACTTTGTCAAAGTAGCCGATCATTCTTGGCTTTTCTTCGATCATTTCCTTTCGCGTCTACTGCTTTTCTAGATGTTTGTGTTGGCAAAGGAATTTGTAGCCTAGTTGCACGTAGTCATATCTTCACTGTTTAACTTGCCAAAGCAGAAGCCACTGGAGAAATGTCAATCTTTTCGCAGCCAATGACCTTGATATCCGACCACTTTGATCAATAAGAGAGATGCCTTCACTCTACATGGTTTAGGTGCGATTGACAATCATTATTATGAGTTTAGAGTCGATTTAAGGTGAATTTTATTTTTGAATGTAAGTCAGTCGCTTATTCCAAAGAGTTTTATAAATCGAAGGGATGTTGCAAGTAAATTAGTGTCGTCAAATAAAGATCATACCTTAGAACTAATCATTTCTTTACATTGTCCTCAAGATTATTGCTAGCTCAATCGAAATTGACATCAAGGAAGCAAGTTCAATGGAACTAACTAGATTAATGAAATAAACACCAGTGCAAACTATTTCACTATAAGTAGTTAAAGACATGAAAATTGGTAGGTAGCATATTTTGGAAAAGCACGTTGTGATAGCGTAAATGGTATTCATCAGGTCTTTATTTTTTAAACTGTCATAAAACAGATGCTTTCGTGAAGGACAGTTTAAAGGGTTATTTTTTTCGTATGTAAAATCTAGGTGTGTAAGTGTTTTAGACACTTTTCCTGTTTCATTTCACTGTCCCAATTTCAGGACATTTCCGGAAGAGATTAATGCAGTTACTTCCTATGCCAAGGTCATGGCTATTTTCCTCCTGTCTCTTTGCAACGATAAGTGCATAAACATTTCGAGGGGTGAGGTATTATTCAAGTTAATGGCCAGTGACTTACCTGAACACGCTGAGCATTTCAAGGATTTCGATAAAAATGGATTTTATACTTCTAAGAAAGCAGCTTTTCGAGTGGGTTCTATTACCCTGCCGTTAACCTATTTTTCCATTCAATTAGTAAAAGTTGTAAGTTACTCATGGAGCATGAACTTCTGCATAATGGTGGTGATTTGGAACATAATATCTCTAGTATTTCAGTCGTTTTTGTGCATATATTTAAACTTCCAAGGTATCCTTCAGAGCAAAAGAAGGATATACAATGCGGTTTGGCATTTTATGTTGCAATGACTGAACATATTCTATCCGAAATTCAATCTTTAAGATAATTAAATCAGGCGTGAGAGCGCTGATAATTGAGTAAAGAGTTGAGTTAGTTTTCGAATGCATTTTTAATAGCATATGTATGAATACCATTTCTACTACTTATTTAACGAAAATTGAATTTTGCCTAAATTAGGAAAAAACGCGAATCCAAGTTACACGCCATGCATTAAAACAGATAAGGGAAGTAAAATCAGCCAAGAAGTCATTCAAGAATTGAACTTTTTAAATGTTTATGCCAGATTAATGAGAATTTGAGGCATTAAAACAAAAACACAGTTTTGATGTTTTATAGGCTCAATGTCGACCAATCATTGGTATCAATAATATTTATTTATTGGGGTGTGCGATAGACTTACCTCCACGTGGTGCACCCTGGGCAACGTATACTCATACGGCAAAAAAGTCTATTATTCGGCAGTTGACTTCTGACTTCAAACTACCAAGACCCCACTGCATTTCATATTCGAATAATTACACAGTACTCACCTCACCTTTTTCTACCTTTGTGTCTGTCTGTCTCTTTTACGTCTGTGAATCATTATTCTGTCCTCCTCTCGACGTTTTGCCACTTTACTGTTTATCTTCCTTTCTGTGAAGCCTGAAGTCAACTAAAGGGTTAATGATACCTATCATAACGCCTGCCATTTGAAATAAATAAATAAATATTTATTTATTTATT